TTTACAGGTTGATACCCCTAACCTAGAAATTCAATTCTCTTTTTTTTTTTTCCTTTTTTGGTACCGGGGATTGAACTCAGGTCCTTGTGCTTTAGAGGCAGGCACTGGAACCACTGAGCTAAATCCCTAGCCCTAGAAATTCAAAATCCAAAACTTCTTTAACCATTTTGGAGGACTGGGAATATAGTTCAGGGCAGAGTACTTGCTGAGTACATGTGAGGTCCTCGGTTTAATTTCCAGCACTGGAGGAAAACAAAACAAAAGAAGACATTTTGGGTTTTTCAGATTAGGGATATACAACCTGTAGTTTGATGCTATCTAGCTTTAGCAGTGACACTTAAACTGAAAAAAAAATTAAAAATAGCAAAAATGAGTAAATAGAAAAATCCTTCTGGAAAGATTAAGTGTCCCTTCCAGAGAACAGACTTACACTAAAGAGTTACACTTTGGCCAAACAGTACCAAAAACTTATGATAGATATGAGGGGCACAAGAAATACTCTGTACTTACCATACTCTGTGCTTAGCAAGACTACAATTGAATGGCACACTATCTATTTAATACTCATAGAAGATTTAATGCCAACATTTTATAATCAATTGAATATAATTCAAGTTCCATAAAATTTCACCTTTAATAACTCTTGTTCTCTTTACTATGTTTAATCAGTAACAGAGTTTAGCTCTTCACAATTTTCAGGATATTTTGATGTTGAAAGATATTTCTACCTTACAAAGGTAGAGGTCATGAACCCACCATGAAGAGCTTCTTCTAGATAATACTCTTCTTGATCTCATCAATTTCCTTAACTTAGTGGTTTGTTAACGCTGGTTGATCATTAGAATCAGCTGGGGGAACATTTAAAAAAAAAAAAATACTGGGCCAGGAATGTAGCTCAATGGCACTGTACCTGCCTGGCGAGTGCAAGGTTCTGAGTTCAATTACCGGTACCAGAAAAAAACAAAAACAAAAACAGCACCTACTTCCAAAGAACCTGCTTCGACTGTTCTGTGTGGGGAAGAGCCACCAGCCACATTTCTACCTCTTTCTCTTTTCCCTCTCTGTTATCTCCCTTCTCACTCTTCCCTCCAACATTCTCTGTTAGTTTTATTTTCTTGACATATGAAGGAAATAGTTCTTAGAGCTGCTCAAAGATTCACTGTATCTGTCATTATTTAATGTACCTTATAAAAGATAAAATACTGACATTAAACTCAGACATGATTTTAAGCCATACCTCAATGACAGAAATGTTAAAAATGTGAAAAAATGTTAATGAGACTTGTCCATCCCTACTTTACTATCACTTTACTCTTTAAGAAACCACGTGCATTCACAATGAGCCACCATCCTGTCCTCTTCTTCACCATCTCATCAATGAAGACTCAAAGGATAATAGGAGGGAACAGTGGGAGGGGACAGTATTTGAGAGCAGACTCTCTTTGGTCACTGATTTCATAACAATATTTTTACAACAGTCTTCTAAGTCATGTCATTCATTTAGAGATTGTAGGTAATGATTATTAACCTAAAATAATGCTTTCCTCAAGAGGCAGTTAAATTCCATTTTTACAAATAGCACTACAAAAATAAATTCTACACAATATTGTAACTTCAGTGTTCATTTAATGGTTCATAGAATGTTTTGCTCCTTTAGTTACCATAAGATTTTAAAGTAAATAAATATTAATACAAAAGCCACACTTCAAAACAAGCCTTGGTTAAAAAAAACTTAAAAGTATGACTTCTGCTTACAAAATTATAAAAACATGGGTTTCCGCAAAACATTCATCTTCCAAAGTACAATATGAATTAATATGACTTACAAATTGTCAAGCTTACCTCTGTAGCAAAAGGCAAAGAAACATGGAATGGAATTTTACTTGAACTTCTCAGCTAATCTGTCAATTTTATTTGTGCTCTCTTTCACACATAGTGCTTTTATTTTCTACACTCTTCAAATAAAACTAAAAAATTTCTGAGTGCAGCCAAGTTTCCTAGGCTTCTCTGAAGACTTGCTTCAACACTGCAAAACATTTACAAGTATATTTATTATTCCACTGGACTGGAATGACACCAATTCACATGCTCTTCTGACCAGAGGTCATGTCCAATGAGTCTGAGAAAGGTTCAACCACTGTACATAGTTTGTGAGATGCTGTGGTGGATTACATGAAGCAGCTAACATTGTACTTGTGCTAGTGTTTCCAGTCCAGCCCAATTAACTCAGACAAGGACCTGTTTAAATGCACAAAGTTGGCTAATGGTGCTGTTTTGTATACATGATTACAGATGTCTAAATTACAGGTGATGTAACTCTTGGATTAACGTCATGAAAAGAAAACAGGATCCTTCTAATTTTTGTTATCTTTCTGCCCACAAAGACAGATGAAATCCTCAAGTCTAGTGGTCAAGTATATATAGGTAAGCTAATCTTTTTTAAGTTCTTCTGCTGAAACCAATGAATTAATTCTAGTTTGTATTTGCAGTGCAGCAGAGAAATAGTCACATAAACCAGGAATGTTTTCCCTAGTATGTACAGAAGCAAGATTTTAATAGTTTTAGGGTCACATGGACCTGATATTACCTTGGACAAGCACTCACTATCTCAAATATGTATGAATTTAGAACAGACTAGTATGACAGGCCTGCAGAAGCAAAGAGCACTCATCAGTGGTTTTGAAAAATCTGGCAGCAGAATCTAGAAATGAGTTAGCAAGTGGGAGGAAGCTCTGAAGTGAAGACTTCTGAAGAGGAGGGCAATCTCACTAGCAACAGTCCTGCCTCTCCTCCTACTTCCTTGCCATCTCCATGGAAGCCCATCCTCTAGCAGTCACAGTATCAAAGTTTCTCCAGAGGCATCTACAGACAGACCAAACAGGGTGTAAGGAAGCAGACAGCATCTATCTATACCACTTTATTTAAACATACAAGGAAATTCTAGCAGTCTCCATCACTACCTTATAATCATGCTATACTGATTCTGGTATGCCATAAAGTTCATAAAAAGAGGCCTATATCTATAAATGCAATTGTTATGATTTTCTATTACATGGTGCTACTCAGTAACCAAATGTAGTGGTAACGTAAGAATTCCATGAGTAGATTTCTAGCCCCAGTTCCAAGTGATAGCCATAGAAAAGATTTTATTCTTAAAACAAAAAAATCAACACATACGAAATTGCTGTTAACAAGAGAAAACTCTTCTTAGTTAACAAAAGCAAACTCTTCTTAAATGCTTCATGTCCGAAAGAACTGTTTGTCCAAGTGGTGGCTTTGCCATTAAAAAGCTATACAAGGGCCGGGGATTTAGCTCAGCCGTTCGGTGGCCTGCCTTGCAAGCGCAAGGACCCGAGTTCGATCCCCGGTATCAAAAAATAAATAAATAAATAAATAAAAAGAATACAAGGAGGGGGTGAAGGGAGGGCAGAGGCAAGGGGAAAAAATGAGAACCAAGACTTGCCATGTAAAGGTACATGATCCCAACAATGAATGTAACTGTACTGTATCCCTAAAATGTACCAATAAACTCAATAAAATTAAAAAAAAAAAAAAAAAAGCTATACAAAAGCCAGGGATTTAGCTCAGTGGTGCCACCGCCTGCCTTGAAATTGCAAGGTCCTGAGTTTGATCCTCAGTACAAAAAAAAAAAAAAAAAGCAAGCTATACGATACTAGATAAAATACTAAAATTTCTCTGGAATGCACTTTTATCTTTGGTAAAATAAAGAAGTTTAATTTTATTGTTCCTAAGCAAAAACTCAACTCTGAAAATATTTTGCCTTTGTTTTTTAGTCCAATTTCAATGAGTTTTTGATATCAATGATAAATGTTAAATTCTGTGATTGCTATAATTAAAGAAATAATTTTTTATATCTAAAGAAAATCTAACACTGCTTATAGAAGAATTTGTTCTAATACCAAATATGTATGGTTAAGTAATTCAGAAATAACTTTAATGGAATAGAAATATAAACCAATCCAATATAAAATCTAAAGTTAATTCTAAGAACAATGTGGTTCTTCAGAAAAACTTGGTAATGGGTCAAATAATAGGGTACTAGAGACAACGTTCACATTTCTTATGTACCACTGGCCTTTAAATTCTAGAAATGAAAGCTCAGAAACCTGAAGGCAACTTAAAGGGAAAGGAAAAGTATAAGGGGCTGGGGAGACATCACACACTGCTCTTTCACTCTCTGTGACACTGACAAAGAACAAACAAAATCTAACTTGCCATGACAATACATATAGCAGGCATTTTGAATCTTAATCTCTATCTTACTTTCCCAACACATGTATGTATACCCATGGACACAAAATAATATTTTCTATAGTAGTACAAGTCTTTATGTGGCACTGAAACAAGTTTAGGGCCAAACAAGCTCATGAATTTTTCAACCAAGAAAAAAAAAATGAATTATTACTACAAAGCCTATTTGATTTTTTTTACTTTTAGGGTAAAAAGTAAAATAACCTTTTGTGAAAAGATGTTAAGAAATTTTCCTTTCATTTAATGAAGAGCCCTGCATCAGAATCACATGCAAATCCAATTAAATTTGAGTGCAATGTCACAAATAAGTTTAAATACTTTTATCTGAGTCTCAGAAATGAATATACCACATATATATAACTTTTTAAGGAAAGAAAATTCTATAAGCCTAGTTCCTATCATCCTAGGTTTGTCATTTATTTTAAAAAATGATACTAATGCAATAATACTATTTTCCAAAAGATGATATAATTTAATATTAAGCCTAAGAAATAACAAGACATTTAGAAATACAGAGAAATTCACGTTTGGCTGCAGAATTAAACATGTGTGACTGCTTGACTGGTGAGAAGAAATTCAGTTTACTCCAAGTAACACTTTACTATTTGAAGGAAAATACATAAAACCCCTCTGAAAACAAATCCCTTCCCTGATACAGTTAAATGCAAATTCTCTTTTCCGTCTTACTCCAGAAAGCTCCTGCACACATAGCTGAAACGCCACCTACTGCAAAGCTGAGCTGACAGCGCAGGCGACGCTGCTAGCATTTCCATTCCGTCGCCAGACTGAGACTGAATAAAGGCGTGTTTGTGCAGTAGTGCTTCTTTTTTTAAAAATCTCAAAGCCAAGAAGAACAAACTGAAATCACATCTTCAAAAATGGAGCGTAAAATAATCAGAAGAGAAAAAGAAAAGGAGTATGAAGGGAAACACAACAGCCTGGAAGACACTGAGCAAGGAAAGAACTGCAAATCCACACTGATGACCCTCAACGTTGGTGGATATTTATACATTACTCAAAAACAAACACTGACCAAGTACCCAGATACTTTCCTTGAAGGTGTCGTAAATGGGAAAATTCTCTGCCCATTTGATGCTGATGGCCATTACTTCATAGACAGGGATGGGCTCCTCTTCAGGCACGTCCTAAACTTCCTACGAAATGGAGAACTTCTACTGCCTGAAGGGTTTCGAGAAAATCAACTTCTTGCACAAGAAGCAGAATTCTTTCAGCTCAAGGGACTGGCAGATGAAGTGAAATCCAGGTGGGAAAAAGAACAGCTAACACCTAGAGAGACTACTTTCTTGGAAATAACAGATAACCATGATCGTTCACAAGGACTGAGAATCTTCTGTAATGCTCCTGATTTCATTTCAAAAATAAAATCTCGAATTGTTCTGGTATCTAAAAGCAGGCTGGATGGATTTCCAGAGGAGTTTTCAATATCATCAAATATTATTCAGTTTAAATACTTCATAAAGTCTGAAAATGGCACTCGACTCGTACTAAAGGAAGACAACACCTTTGTCTGTACCTTGGAAACTCTTAAGTTTGAGGCTATAATGATGGCTTTAAAGTGTGGTTTTAGACTGCTGACCAGCCTGGATTGTTCTAAAGGGTCAATTGTTCACAGCGATGCACTTCATTTTATCAAGTAATTACCTGTCTCATGGACAAAGGCAACAAGCATGCAGCCAGCAAGCTTCGGAAAACCACAGCATCAAAGGCACCCCAAATAGTGTGCTCAGCTAGCTCTGTACTACAGAGCCCTGCTGCTCATCAAATACTGTAAGCTAACGGTATGTACATTCTATCACTAAAGATGCCCTTCTCTGGGGTGCTCCTGCTGATCAGACTTTTTCTCCTAAAATGAAAACAGTAATCATCTATATACTGTAAATAAAGACTGAATGCTTTTGCTATTTGTTTATTTTTCCTTATACTTTCAATCACTATGTCTGGGGTACTTGTATAAAAAGCAAGCATGTATATTATCTGTAGTTCATTTAAATAAATGGTAATAAAATATTTTAAGGGGCTCTAAGGTTTAACATCCTATTTATGGCAAAATCTACAAAGAAACTGAACTGATAAAATTAACCACTGAGAGCAAAACAGATGCGCAGCTCTCTACCTGAAACAGAGCTGTAGTAAAAAAAAAAAAAAAAAAAAAAAAAAAAAAAAATAAAAAAAAGAAAAAAAACT